CAAGTGGGTGTGGATGAGTGTGTGTGTGTGTGTGTATGTGTGTATCCTATGGAGGGAGGTATAGCTTGCAAGCGTGTTGGCGTTAATGGTTCTTGATGAAATGAAATAATGGGTGCGTTTATTCACGTAATGTATTTGTATTTGTTACAGCAGCAACAACAGCAACAGCAACAGCAACAACACCAACAGCAACAACAACATATTTACAATAATAACACAGCTCGTAAAACGAATGAATACTGAATGGAATGATTGAATGCCGTATGGAATGAAAGCGGCGCCCAAGCAACGGCAACGGTAAAGGCGAACAGCGTACGGCGACGTCTAACAAAACGCTTTTCGTTAGTTTTCATTATTTTCCGCATTTAAGCGTATTTATTCCGTTGTTAATCGAATTTATTAAATGCAAACACGCCAACATATATAAAAGACTGCCATCATACAACAACAACCCTCCAATCCCTACACTCACACACACACACACGCACACAGGCACACGCTCGTAGAGTTTGGCCAACACGCACACGCACACTCACACTCACCTGGAACTGGGCGCGTTTTGTTTGGCTTGAGAAATGTTCTTCGCATGATTATTGCCGGCTGCTAATTTTATGCTTTACTTTGTGCCCATTGAATGTCTCTATTCCCCCTCACATTCTGACTCCCTCTCTCCATGTCTCTGCTTCTCTTTCTATCTTTTTTTCTGTTTCTCTACTGTCCAACTATTCATAGCAAATATATATATAAATATCATTCACGGCTCCTGTTTTCGCTGGAAACGTAACTGAAAATATTTATGTTGCCTATCCTTAGGCGTTTCAATTGCGCTCAGCAGATTGAGGAATAAGTATTACAAGTGCAAAGCGAATTCAATCTTCATTCCATTTAATGATTTTATGGATGATGAAAGGATTATCAATTGAAATAAATCTAGTTGCGTAGGTAATACCAGAAAATGTACTTTTATAAATTACAATATTTTCCAGTATAATATCACAACTACAGATTCTAATATGTACTTCATAATATAAATATAATATTAATAAAGAAAAAGCTATTCAAATTAGATATATGAATTAGCTTTTGGACTTCAGATTTCTGTTCTCATATAGGATTCCTTAATTTAAATGCAAGTTTTCAGCTATATTTCCTATTGCCTCAACAACTTTATAATGATTGAAGCTGAATTGAATTTCAAAAATCAAGTATTATTGCCTAGTAAATTACAAAAAAAAAAAAAATAACTGCGGAATCCCAGCTTATAGAATAGTTTATAAATTAAACACTGTATATAAGTCCCGAATTTCCCTCTGCAAATATTTTCTATTCTAAAATTCTCTTGAAATAATCTAGTCGAAGCTTAAGGCTTAATTAAATTAATGTTTTCAAGACATAGAAAATTGCGTATATAAAAATAGCTGGTAGATCTTTCTACTTATTATAGGATATTGCTAAAAATATAAATCTAGAACACTTTCCGGTCTATTAGCAGTATCAAGATTTCGTTTGTATTTGCCCTAGATATTATTTTAAAAGAAAAGATACGCCCAACTGAAGACAAAATCAACTAGGAAAATTCGGGGTATTCGAAATGATTTGCATAAAGAACTTCATTTTCAGCTTAGTATATATTCTATTTACTATTATTTATTATTTAATTTTTGTTTGTTTAAATGAACTAACTATTATTGAATATTAGATATCGCCCACGCTCTCATAGCACATATAATCTGGGCAATCTAGAAATAAAAATAATTATATGTATTACCCATTGCATATTAGATAACACCCATGCTCTCTGAGCTACTCGCTCTCAGATCGAATCGTAAACTGTCGCTTGAAAATAGTGCTGAATGTGATTTTTATGCGAATGTGGCTCTAGATGTAATGCATTTCAGTGACGGAGCACAGCTGGTAAATAAAACTAAAAGAAACTTTGCGCATTAGTTGGCCAGAGCTAGCGTCCGAGCTAGCGCCAGTTGGTCCGGCCAAGTCCGAGCCTGATGCCAGCGCCGCTCTCCCTCTTCCCTCTTGCCCTCTCCGTGGAACTTTTGCATTTGATTTCGGCACAAGAAATGAGCAAATGGCCTTATATGTCAATGATTTTTCTTCACCCACGTCTTCTGATGGCGCCAACAACTGCACTGGCTAACAGATAACATGAGCTGGGGCCAACGTGTGTGTGGGCCAGGGGAGGAGAAGGGGCAACACTTTCTTGACGCCTTGCAACCAACAATGCTAGCCAAACAGATGGCGCTGAATTGGTGTAAGGACTCGTTGCTCTGCCAAAAAGTCCTTACCGTTTGTCTAGGGATACTTTTTTTAATTTTCTCCACACACACACACACACACACATACTGACAGACATGGAGGGACACACATTTAGATTATACACCCACACGAGCTGCTGCACCTCCCCTTTGCTGTTATTATTTTGGCTTCCATTTATTTGCTGTCAATGTTTCGACTGCCTGCCGCCTGTCCAGCCCGCCCGAGGGCTACGTCCGCTGCTCGCATTTCCTCGCTATTTTCTATTTTTTTTTCGTTTTTCTTTTACTTTTTGTACTTTTTGCTATCATTTTCATTTTAAAATGTCGCTCAGAGCAACGTCATGGACGGCAACGCCTCCTAGAGGTCAGCGTCAGCTCCTACGCCCCGTTATTCTCCGGCCGTCCCTTTTTTCAGCTGGGCACCAGTGTCTCGTCACCTAGTCCTAGTCCAAGTCCCAGTCCGCCGACTGCTGCTGCTTCTTCTAGACATTTTGGGGCTGGCCACTTTATAAATGTTTCTGCAACGGATTTTGCAAAGTAAACTTTTTCGCCTTTGTAGTTTGTTTTTTTGCGTCTCTCAACCACTTGGCCCGCATCTGATTGCGAGTGTGTGACACAGGAAGAAGCAGACGACGAGGATGGGAGCAAATAATATATTAAAATGCAAACCCAACTCATATTACCGAACCGAACCAGCCCACAAAAAAAAAAACAACTGTACTGGATCGGCTTGTTGGCACGGTTAGTGAGGGGCGCGCGAGGGGTAGGCGGGCTCTCTAGCTCTCAAGTCCTTGCGCACACATGTGCGCAATTTCCAAGTCCGTTTCGGCTATTGCCAATGTCTTCAAATAAATCGAATGCACAAAAAAGCAATAAAATGAAATAAAATCTAAATATATGTATGCATGTGTGTGCCGCTGAGGAGTGTCGTCCTTTTTGTAGTTGTCCTTTCGTTTCTACTCCCAACGAGCTCCTGGAACGGAGGCGGACAGCTACTGACAAAGAACAACAAACAGAATAGAACCGAACCGAATCGAACAAAACGGTAAAAAAAAGAGGAGGCAAAGGAACTTATCATTTTTATCATTGCACAAAACTTTATCCTTTTCAGCTCAGGCCGTTAATATTTTCGTTTCTAAATGCGAAATGGCCGAGTCGAAAAGTCCCAATACCAATACCAATACCAAGTACAGCCCAGTGCCAAGACGTTACCGCTGTCCGGAATTTCAAATGACTTTTCCCTCAGCGTGTGTGTGATGTGAGGGCGTGCAAGTCCGAGGCTTATTGAATGTTTATGCTTTATTAAATTTGATTTCTTTGCAACTCGCAGTCAAAGCAAGCAGGGCAGCTGCGACGACCGTCCGACCGTTCGACAGACCCATCGACCCATCGACCGACCAACTGGTTTACAAACCCATCGTCTAGTCGTTCGAGCCAGCAACTAACCAAACAGCCGGTCAACATTTGCTGCAATGATCTATGTGCGCTGAATATTAAATGGCCTCGCCGGCTTAGAGACGCTCTAGTCCCAGCTCCTCCCGGTTATCCCTCGGCCCGCATTAGGTGGACGATGTCTTAGGCTCAGGCTAAGGCACCATTATCATTTTAATGCGCGATAAATGCGACATTTGCGACGTTATACAAAGTGCGTGTAATGTGCTCGACCACCCAAAGCCAGAGCGGGTGCGGGAGAGGGAAAGGGAGCGGCAACGGGAGAGGGCGTGCGTGGGCTGGCAACGTCGACGAATTCTTGACTTTGGAAAACGGAACGGAACGATTCATATTTGTAAACGGGTTTCGCCGCAAGCATCCGGCTGTGCTTACGCCAATGGCAAACCCCAACGCCCACGCATAATATCGAATGGTAATCATAATCATAATAATAGTAATAGTAATAGGAATAATAATAATAATTCGAAACATTTGCACATACGTAAATGAACATTACGGCCGTTCGCCTACCCCCGGAATATGTTTATAATCACACGCCAAATGTCCCAAACAGCAGTTGTCCAGGCCGGAAAAAAAAAACACAAAAACTTGACTCGTTGTTTGGGCCCCTAATGCGACACGTGGCCCGCGCATATTTCTTCACACTCCGAGCCGATTGGCAGCGATTGGTATTTAGAATTGGAGTGTGGCTCCCTCACTCTTTATTGTTAGTGCTAGTTCCACGTGGGTGATGGGTCTAATGATTGCCTGCGTTTTGGTAACTCGTTAGGCGTGATATGAGCTTTATGTGTTTGTGTTTATCTGCCGAAATGGCTGCGATAAGTGTTATCGCATTAGCGCATTATCGATAAACTTATATTACGCCTCGGTATTTGTGAGTTTCGCTGCGCACAACTTAAATGAGAATTAACTAAAATTGAGCACTATTTATAGTAGTTTGTTTGTATGCAACTGATAATTGATAATGTTTAATAATAAACCGATAACAATCGATATACAGCGCACTTAACTAAACTTATATGTACATCTTTAATAATTAGTTCATTAATTTTGAGTTCACTTTTGTTCTTTGGCCAATTGTTTGTCGAATTGTGAATGCTCTGCCGTTTATCGGTTTATCGATAGCTATCGATAGATTAGTAACGAGCTTGTAGCAAATGCAAATCATACGCAAATCCTCGCGTCAAACGAAATCATACACAAGAGGCAAATATCCAATAAGATACGAGTATATATAGATAGAGAATTAGGGAAACTTCAATCGATCTTTCGACTTACCAAAATCACTGCCACCTAGGCCGGAAGGTCCTGGCAGCAGGCCGGGTATGCCCTGCAGGCCGAGGAATGCATTTGGAAAGGAGTGCGAGCGCTGATTGTCCATGCCATCGAGAGTGCCGTCGTGGTGGCCATCGCCACGATCCGAGGGTTCCGTATCGCTGCTATTGGAGTCCTCGCCGGCACTCTGGCCGAGATCGTGCTTCTGCAAAGAGTTCACGGAAAATTGCCAGCTCGCAAGGGAATAGATTCAATGCGAATCAACGCTCCACCCACCTGATTGGCCTGCTGTCCATTGCTGTTCTCCAGTGCCTGACCGAGCAGAGACTCGCGCAGCTCCAGGTTGCGATCGCGATCCTTGGACGTGTCGCGGCTGCGGTTGCGCGTCAATGGATGTTGCCCCGCCACGGGAAAGTCGCGATCGATTAGCAAACGCTCCGGACTGATGCCGTGCTGTGCCCGAAACAGATCCGCGCTCTTGATGCGCTTCTGTGGCGGCGGTGTCAGGTGACTCTTGCGACTGCCCTCCATGTCGCTCAGATCCCAGTGGTTGTTGCTGCTGGCCTAGAGTGGGTGGAATGCACAAAGGGAATTCGAATTGAGAAATTAGTTAGGCTTGTGACCCGTCGCAATCGGAATGCATGCGAGCGACTTTACTTTGCTTGGATTGGGATTTGAGTTTCTTACGGGCGACGCTGCGGATGCCTTCAGCTCCTGAATGGCGGGCGTGCCGCTGCTGCTGCTGCCGCTCTGTGCTGCGCCCGACTCCCGCTGGCCCGCCTGACCCTGGCTGCTCCCGCTGCTCAGTGGCAGGCTGGCAGCGGCCGCCGCAACGGCTGCCGTCAGCGAGGCAGCGGCAGCAGCCACCGCACTGGATGCCGACCCTGTTGCCGGCGTCTGTGGAGTGCTAAATGTCGAGCTCTGGCTCTGGCTCTGATTCTGATTCTGGTTCTGGCTGTGGCTCTGGCTGTGACTGTTGTTGGCGCTGGCGCTGCTGTTGCTGTTGGCATTCAGCGCTGTGGGTAAATAGTTGCTAATTTTGTTGTTCTTGTTACTGCTTTCTGCATTATTGTTGTTGTTGTTGCTGCTACTGTTGCTGCTGTTGCTGAGTGCAGCGGACAGCGCCTTCGAGTAGGGATAGCCGCCGTTGACATCCGCCAGGCCGCGTATCTGCAGCAAGTGCGCCGTCTTCAGAAAGTCCGGCAGCTGCTCATGACTCACATTCACCTCGCCATTGTACATGAAGCTGCAAAGAGATTTTAATTGCGATTTACAATAGTGAAGCAAGTAAAGTCGAGACCGCTCAACTAGTAGATACCCTCGATACCTTGAAGAACTTTTCTTATAATTATAAGAATTGGATATTCATATTTCAAAAGGCATAAGTCTCTACTATAATAAATAATCAAATTAAAATGATCGATTTTTATCGATAATAACATTCTACCATGAGCGATCGAATATAAATTAGTAATACCCATACTGTTTATGGTCTACACATCAAATTTGTAGTGTCTAGCTCTTATGGTTTACGAGATTTCAACGTTTATACAGACAGATGAACGGATTGATAGATAGGCGGGTGGACGAATGAAGAAACTGACGCATAGATGGACAGAAAAGTCAACTCTGAATCGAAAATATATGCACTTTATCGGGCTACCCCAGCTCCCACTGCCTGTTACATGCTTTCGCACAAACGCATTGCACCGACTTCCCGTTCTCAACGGGTTCAGAACTTCATTAATGTCGAAAATTCCTTCAGATTGTACTCACCTTAGCAGGTTCTCAACATCGTCGCTGCGCACATCGCGCAATATGACAATGGGATGCTCACAGGGATTGGCCTTAAGCAGCTTGCGAAAGTAGGGACTGCAGGCGCTGAGAACAACCTTGTGTGCGGTGAAGGAGCGCTCGTCGCAGGCGAGCGTCACATCCACGAAGTCCTCCTCGTCCCGCAAGTGCCGAAACGAGCTGAGTATTGACGTTTGAAAATCATTCCATTTAAGCGCATAATGCTGCTGCTGCTGCTGCTGCGACTGCTGCTGCTGCTGTGGTAGGGGCGGCGTTGCTGGGGATAGCGCCGTGCCGGCGCCAGCGGCTGCTGTAGAGGCCAGGGCGTGCGTGTGCGAGTGGGTGGAGGTCGCCAGTGGCGGTGGCTCCATTTTGACCACGCCCGCGTTGTTATTCTCCGCCGTTTGCAGCTGAGTGGACTCGGTCATTTATAGGAACTTGTGCCGTGTCCTTGACTCTTTCGTTTACTTCGGCCGCTTTGTATGTCTGCCTAATGTCCTAATGGGCTCGATCCAAGCGCGCTTTGTTGCCGAATCCTATTTCCTAGTCTCTATTGTATTGTGAACGTATGTTTGCTCGTGTGCAGCTTTGTGTGGAGATTCGCAAATATTTACAGTGCCGTTCCGCCAATCTTGATGCTTACTACTGCTGCTGCTCCAGCTGCTCCTGCTCCTACTCCTGCTCCTGCTCCTGCTCCCTTGTGCTGCTAATTGGGCGAAAGTTGTGGCAATCTCTGACGGCCTTTGTCCATTTTCACCGGACTCTCTCACTCGGTGCCTCAACCATGGACGGAACGTTTACAAAGTCGGGCCGGTTTGGGTTGAGCTGGGGGCAGCGCTTTTTGCTCTCTCTCTCTCTCTCTCTCACTCTCTCGGTCAGCTGTTGTACACTGTAAAGATAGATGGAGACTCATGAGTCTTTGGCTCATTTCAGGTTCAATTGCCACCGTCCACAGTATGAAGTGCGGCAGGTGGCCCCGCTCAGCAGCATTGGTAGCCCCATCATTAAATACTATTACCAATTATTCATACTTAAGCACCGAGACGACGACGCTGGCGGCTGATGGTTGCCGATTGCCTCTTACCAATTGCCCAGTTGTTCAGTTGTTCAGTTGTTCAGTTGTTCAAATTGTTCAGTTGTTCGTTTGGTCAGCTCAGTTCAGCACGGCGGCCCTCCGCGGTGTCTAATGGAATCATTAATTACGCGAGCGCACCGAGCGGGCCACTTGTCGGGGGCATTAGACGCAAATCAATTTAATTTAACCGTTTACAAGCAGCGAACCAGCGCACTTTCCCCCGACTCCGACCTCTACACACGAGTCGAGTTCGAGCTACAAGCCGAAGAAATACAATGTAATTGTATAAGATCATTAGCTCTTTGCACCACGTCCCGCTGATCTACCGACCGACAGCTGCAGGTTGTGGCAGTGGTACTCGCGGACTGGGAGAGTACGTGAACCGACGCCTCTACCGGATAGGCCTCAGAGTCTGGATCAGAATCGGAGATTCAGCGAGACCTGATCGATGTGAGCTGCCTTCATAATATTTATAAACCCATTCATCTACCTCAGACTCGGCTCACGATTATGATCTTCGGCACAATGTGAGCGGCACGCCCCTCTATCAAAATAATAATCACAGAAGCCTAATGCCACAAACTTTTCGATTGCAATTGGCGCCTGCATTGTGTGGCATGCTCATTTTTCATGCCACAGTCAACTTGGAATTTCCAACTTGGAAAGTCAGTCGTGGGTTCCTGTCTACTCTTTTTGTTTCTATCTGCTTTTGGGCTTCTTCTTGTGTTTACATCTTCGTCGGGTGCTCGCTAGCCCCGGGACTTGATTAATGATGCGCTGCTTGAAATTCGATTATGAACATCATGTAGAACTAGATTTATGTACACCTGTCTTGGGACCTCAAAACTATTGAAATCCAATTGAAATTCATTAAAACAGATCAACGACTGAGGTACCTCAGCATATTCTAATTTCCAACTGGGTGGAAGGAGCAGTTGTAATTCTCAATATGTGACTGTATCTCTCTCTCTCACCCTTCCTCCCCCGCTGTCACTGCTTTTGCGCTAATTTATGAAGTAACCCAAAACAATTTCATCATAACACACTTGCCGACAATTATTTCGTTTATTGAACAAACATTCGCGTCGTATCGCATAAATTCGAAAGGGCGACAGCAACAACAATAACTAAACAAACCCGACTCTATATATACAGTAGAGCCAGGACAAAAACAAGTACGAATGCTCAAATGGGGTGTAAACAACTGAAGAATACCCGTGCAGAGGCCAAAACAGTTCCATTTGACCAAACAACGGGTAGTATAAATAAAACTAGATATAAACTATGACTATCTATCTATATGTAGTGTCAACATCCTAACTCTATATTTATTACCAATAGGGCTATTTCTGTTTTACCATTATCTGTTTTAGTCTGGCAAACAAACTGATCAATAGCAAGTCACTTTTTAAATTTTATAGTTCCGGCTTTTCTAGCTCAGCTATTTCTATATATCTTAGCGTGATAGATATTTCCATCTGGCTCTGACTTAAGAATGAAATCCATCATCAATAATAGCTCTACGCATTTAAATATACCCAAACCAACAGACTCGCTCTCATATTTTGAGCGGGTATATAACGAAAAAAAAAAAAAAACAACAACGCGCAGCCGGTTGGTAACCAGAAAAATATGTAAATGTAAACGAAAAGGAAATATAGTCAGATATATACACATAATATTTATTGTACATATATAGAGGATGATATCTAGACCTGTGTATGTGTGTGTGTGCGTGTCGGTGTGTGGGTGCAACGCAATTGCATTTCTCACGTTAGCACAAAATTCGACAACAACAACAAATGCGAGTCAAAGCGCAATATCAATTCGCCTGTCTAAAGCAAAACATATCAAAAATTTGCGTGGAAAAAACAAGAAGCCGTCCGTAATAAAAAGACCAAGTGAACACACGCACACACACACACATATGCATTTTGTGATATGTGAAGTTTGTGCAAAATTGTCGAGAGGGGGAGGAGTCAAAGGGAGTCCTATCATAATAACAAATAAATGTAAATGATAATAGTAAATAAAAAACGAATTACTAAACAACACACAATCCGCTTCATATCCAATCATGTGATGCCACCCAAATACCCCTATAAATATATACAGAGAGAAAGAGAGCGACATATAGAAAGAGAGAGAGAGAGAGAGAGAGAGATAGATATATGTGTACGGTGTAGAGCACACGATGTGCGTGCAAAGGAGTTCGGGATTGAGACAAGTAACAACAGTTGTTGTTAGACAAGCAGAGCAGGAAGCGGCCCACACATAAGGATAACAACATTTATGCCAACTATTTAAGTAAATTGATACGGCGCCTTGGTAAATGAAGCAACGACCCACCAAATATAGCCAGAGAATAAATATAGCGTACGACCTCCTTACAGTACACTAAGAGAATGACTTATCAAATACGCGTCGAATTGCATATAAACATAAAAGTTCTAATAGCTATAAACAAAATACATACATATATATGTGTATATGTATATATGTATATATGTCTATTTGTATATATGTATATATGTACATATGTATATATGTATATATATGTTAAAACTCAATTTTATTGGTTGTAAATACTTTCAGGTTGGGTCTATGGGGTTTCTCTCGCTGTGCTCACTAGTTTCTTTAAGTGTATTTACTGGCAACTTAAATACACATTCAGATTCTAAGCGTTCTTCTATAAAACAGCGATTACACAGGCAAACAAAATTGATACATATGTACATTTAAGTGGGTTTCAATTCTATATTACATTTAACGACTACATAAATAAGTAAAGTCTTGAAAGTCTCTTGTCCAATTCAAATCGAATGTATGGACTGGATTAAATATACCAATTATGAATTATTTCAAATAAAGCAACCATCAGTAATCTTCAGCTTCTACCGCTTGCCACCTCCTGTTGACTTGGGTTATCAATATTACGAATAATCAAAGAAGCAATTTTATGGCTCTGTATTTATGTACGGCAAATTACTTGAGGTATTTAATTAGTTAAACAATATGAGGTTGGATATTACAAAGGCTCTCTCATTTACTGCGTAACTCGGAGTCTCGAATTGCAAATATTTTCTGATTAACTCAGTCCAAAATATTTGCAGCTTTAAACAAATTGGAAAGCATTAAAATTGATTAGAATTTAATTTGTCCAAATAAATTATGTGCAATGTGTAAATTATAAGAAAGTACACATGCACACATACACGCACCCCCATATGGGCAATTGGATTGATACTGAAAAGGGATGCAAGCAAATTAGTTAAAAACCAATTAAAATTACGCATACGCCGGATAGGCCGCACGCCCAATTTGTAAACCAGTTTGATAGTCGATGCATATATATTTTTATTATAATGTGATATACATACATCCGTATGTATGTGTAGATATATTTGAGCGCACACAACCAATACGCACAAATGCGTTGAGAAAGTTTTTCTAAAAATCCAAATTAGAATGTCAATAAAATACGCTTTTAATGAAATAATTAATTAGATTTTGCACATCAACAAACCGAGGCGCAATACGTACGCACACAACTGTACACTGAAATAATATATATATATATATATAGATAGATATGGTATATATATGTATATGTATTCGATGTCTATTTACTTGCATTAAGCGGTCATCGCATCAGCTCACCTGTCGTCCCGCATCCCCTCCCCCCTGCATTCAATTGTATTTTCGATTTTCAATTCGCATGCGTTTCTGTGTTTCTTTCTTCTTCTTAGTTCTGGTTTCGTTGCGCGCGATTTATTCGATTTTCAATTATTTAAATGGTTTTCATTTCGGACCCACACACAATTCTAATTTGCATTTAGAGGGAGAGAGAGAGATAGGGAGAAGAGTCGCCCCAGTCTCTAGCCCCGCCCCCGGACACGCATCAAAGTGCCACTGAGTGGCACAAAAACTAAAAATGTCTGAGCAGATAGATAACAGAAACAATACGAGCCACAGCAGCAGCAGCAGTAGAAACAGCAACCAGAATTGACTTTTCCTAATTGCCTCAGAGAACTTAAATTGAGACATGAAATTGAATAATTCAAAATAATTAGCCAGCCAGGACAGACAGAGAGAGGGAGACAGCCAGTCGGTCGAGCAGCGTAATTGCATTAACGATTTTGATAAATGACAATCGCTCGAGAGTCTCCTTCGACTTTGACGCACACAATCTTAGCACCTGGAATATGGCTCAGTAACATTTAAATATGTTAAGTACAAGCTGAAATTCGGAAAAGTCTCATTGAAGTCGCAACTGGACAAATAAAATATTATAACGATTGGAATGGAAGCTTAAAAAGAAACTTGGATAAACGAGTCCTTAAAATAAAGAGAAATTTCACTTACACCAGTCAAGTCGCACTAAGGCTAAGAAATTCGTAAGTGAAGAAGCTTAGAATTGAAATTTAAATGCAGTTGAAATATGAAGATAAATATTAAATGGAATCTAGAATTAAAACTTAGATTATTTGAATTGAAATTGAGATTGAAGTGAATTAATTCTCAAGAAGCAACCTTATTTCGAAAAAGATTAAAACAAATATTAACTAATATAAAAAATATTATATTATATACCAAAACAAAAAGTCATAATTGGAAATATATTTTAAAGAATCTACAAAATTCAAAGCACATATATATTTTCAGTTCTGATGCGGAAATCAAGCAAGTGAATACAAAATTAAATTTTACTTAAAATTAGGGAAAGTGTGAAGAAAGTCTATGTGAAGTCCATAAAAATGATTCAGGAAACTGAAAAAATCAAAAACTATTAATCAAGTCTTTAAAAAAAAAAA